CGGTAAAATATTGGACTTGTTTAGAAAACAATTCGTGCTAAAAACGCAAAAGTATATCTTAGCACTGATGCGTACTTTCTGACGAAAAATTATGACACGCCATATTTTCCGCCCCACCTTCGGTGAAAGTTCGTCCACTCGTCGAATCTTCGTTTCCCAATTACTGTCCCATCTACCTGGTGCACACATCGGTTCATCACGTGACCAGTATTTCATACCTTGTCACAGATTAGCGTGTAGAACCGCGAGGCAAGGATTCGTGACGTAGTACCACAGGTAACCCGCATCTTTCTAAGAGCGTGCGATGATAACATATACATTTTAAAGCCTGCGCATTCGTTCTTTTAGCCTCTCAAGCAATAATAATAATAATAATGATAATAATATTATAATAATAATCTAAGCTTATAAAGCGCTTATATAACTTTTTCTAAGCGCAAATAAAAAGGTAAAAATTAAGATAAAGAAAGTTACAATAGATTTACAGATCATAAGTTTGTTTAAATGAAGGGAGCACGGTAAAATGTTGTTTATTACCTTTTTAATCCGTTAATACGATCGATTCTTTCGCTAATAAGCCATTTTGCTTTGTAATATGGTTTTCCGCTGACCCTTAGGAATGGTGGCGAATAGTGAGGATGGACAGGTTTCAGTAATGAAGGAAATAGTTGATGCGGTTAACTCACTAAAAAAAAAAAAAAAAAAAAAAAAGGAATGGTGGCGAGCCCCGAAGGGGCGAGCTTAATAATCCCGGGGAGTGAAACCGTTGAGAATCAACCAATCACAATTGAGATTTTGGGGGTGTGTCTTCTCCTGATGCTCGTAGCAGTTTCCTTAGAAATAGTTCGACTACGGATCCAGGCCAAATGCCGGGAGGTTACATTTTCGCGCATTTTATCACAGATTCAGATCGATCAAGAAATGCTAAGTTCAAGTCAGAGAAAAGTGGAAAATTTAGTATTAGATGGTTACAGTGTTTTTATTTCTGGAGAAGCTGGTAGTGGAAAATCCTTTTTCCTTCGGTCAACGATCAAGAAACTCAAAGAAGCTTTTGGAAACCGTGTAGCTGTAGCTGCTGCTCCTACAGGAAATATGCTCACAAGTCTCTTTCCAAACGTGGCTTTATCCTCACAACTGATTATTTCAATAGCGCATTGATCCGCGTAAGCTTCGAAGGCTTCATCGACAGAAAGAACATTTCCTTCAGACATAATTAAAGAATCTAATTAATTCTAAAACGAGAAAGAACAAAGATAGTAGTTCCCCTTTGATTTCTACAGAAATCAATCGAAAGAGGATTTGTAGGTCATTTTGATGTG